TCTCAAAAGGTACCTCTCCCGCTGAACACCTCTTTTAATTTTTATTTTGTTTGATTTCGATTTATTTATGTATTTTGTTACTCCTCATCAGAAGATTTTTTCCATTAATTTTTAGAGAGAGTAGAAGAAAGAGAGAGGCAGAGAGAGAGAAACATCGATGTGAGAGAGACACCTCAGTCGGCCACTCCTGCTCACCCCCCACTGGGGATGGAACCCACAACCCGGGCCTGTGCCCGGACAGGGACTTGAACCCTGACCTCCTGGCCCAGGGGTTGACGCTCAGCCACGGAGCCACATGGCCGGGCAGAGCCAGCTCTCGAAACCTCATTTCAGTCCGAGGTCCCGGTGCGGGAGGGACCGTCTGTCCCTGAGCCCCGTGCCCTGCCGCCTCTCTCAGGGGTGCTGTGTGCACGTGACAGCCCCGTGAATACGGATGCATCCGTGGCCACCGATGCCTGTTACCGTTCTTCCTGTCTCGACATTTTGGTTCTGTCTCACTTCTGGATTGTTCTGATTTTTAAAAGTCCCACGAAAGGCAGAGCCCCTGGTGCTGGGAGACTGGCCTGGGCGGGGGAGCGCACGTGGAGGCCCCGACGGGCTTCTGTCTCTTTAGCTTCAACATGGAGCCCAGCTACGACTTCCTGCACGTGTACGAGGGCGAGGACTCCAACAGCCCGCTCATCGGCAGCTTCCAGGGCTCGCAGGCGCCCGAGCGCATCGAGAGCAGCGGCAACAGCCTCTTCCTGGCCTTCCGCAGCGACGCCTCCGTGGGCCTGTCCGGCTTCGCCATCGAGTTCAAAGGTACCACGTCCAGCATCCAGCGTCCAGGCCCCTCCGGTCACTCCTGCGGGAAGAGGGCCGGGCCGGCGGGCGCGTGCAGGAGGCAACCAATCCCTGTGTCTCCCACAGCGATGTTCCTCCCTGTCTTTCCCTCTCTCTCCCTCTCTCCCTCACAGAAAAATGCCCTTGGGTGAGGATAAGAGAGAGAGAGAGAGAGAGGGAGGGAGGGAGGGAGGGAAAAGAGAAGGGACGGGGGGGGCTGGGGGAGGGGAGGGGAGGGGAGGGAAGGATTAAGAAAAAAGCCCATAGACACAGACCAGAGTGTGGTGACTGCCAGAGGGGGAGGGGTGGGGCGTGGGAGGGGAAAGGGGGGGTGAGTGGTGATGGAGGGAGACTTGCCTGGGGAGTGAACACAGGACACAATGCACAGATGATGTACGTAGAATTGTACACCTGGGTCCCCTATGATTGTCAGCCAGTATCACCCCAATACATCACTGTTGTTTACAAATGGACCAATCCCCTCTTGGGAAGTCGGATTCCCTGCCTCTTCCCAGGCAGCTGAGGTGACTCGGTGCAAAGCCAGGAAGGGAGCTTCGGTTTTTCCAGAGTCAGTGTTTTTGGCTCAGCACTAAGGCCTAGTTAACGGAAGGGTGGATGGAGAAAAAGGAAGTGCTCTCTTTTCTGTTAACCAAGAACAAGTGATGGAATAGCAAGTGTGCAGTAAGATGTAGTTTGAAAACTTGGAACTGTAATTTGATTAAAAGTTTTTCTATGATATTTAGTTATTGACTGGGTAATTAGTAACCTGATCATCTTTCCTAGTATATGTAATTATTAACTTGATAATTAATTAACAACTCGGCCCTTGGTTGATCGGTAAATATTTTTTGAGCATTTCTCATGTTGGGCTCTAGTCTAGGCACTAAAAAACAATCAACCAGATAGCCAAACACACAGGAACATTAAGGCCCGCCCCCACAGGGGTCACCCGCCCCCATAGAGGTCACCCACCCTCACGGGGGTCCCCCGCCCCCACGGGGGTCACCCGCCCCCACGGGGTCACCCGCCCCCATAGAGGTCACCCACCCTCACGGGGGTCACCCGCCTTCACGGGGGTCACCGGCCCCCACGGGGTCACCTGCCACCATAGAGGTCACCTGCCCCCACAGGGGTCACCCGCCCCCATAGAGGTCACCCACCCTCACGGGGGTCACCCGCCTTCACGGGGGTCACCGGCCCCCACGGGGTCACCTGCCACCATAGAGGTCACCTGCCCCCACAGGGGTCACCCGCCCCCATAGAGGTCACCCACCCTCACGGAGGTCACCCACCCCCACGGGGTCACCTCCATTTCTCCTGCAGAGAAGCCCCGGGAAGCCTGCTTTGACCCCGGGAACATAATGAACGGGACCAGAGTCGGGACGGACTTCAAGCTGGGCTCCTCCGTGACCTACCAGTGTGACTCCGGCTACAGAATCGTGGACCCTGCGTCCATCACGTGTGTGATCGGAGCGGACGGGAAGCCGGCCTGGAACCAGGCCCTGCCCACCTGCAGCGGTACGTGTGCATGTGTGACAGCTGCCCCCGCCTCACCTCCGGCAGGTCCAGCGCAGTCACCGAGGGCCCTCAGCACAGCCTCTCCTGCCCCCCCATCCTCACCGCCTGCAGGTCCAGCACAGCCACCGAGGGCCCTCAGCACAGCCTCTCCTGTCCCCCCCTCCTCACCGCCTGCAGGTCCAGCTCAGTCACCGAGGGCCTCAGCACCGTTCCCTGGTCTGTGGTGGGGATCACTTGCTCGCAGAGCTAAGGCGGGAAATGCAGGCGACCTTCCTCCGTCCTTGAATCAGCCCGCCTCAGCCCTTCCTCCCAGTACCTGGAGGGGACTGTTTCTCTCCCTCAGAGCGTTCAGCATCTTTACTCCCATTTTGTGTAGCTGATCTACATAGAGGTTCCGATGCACAGTCCCAGGTGTGCTCTCTGTCTCTCTGTTTCCTTCCCTTTCTCTCTCCATTTATACACACGCAATATACATAGATGACATATGTACACATGTAACACTAAAGTGAATGCGTCACTTCCCCCCACAATCCAATAGCTTGTAACTCCTCACGTAGATGTTAAATTAATAAAATCACCTACTGAAGGTCAGATCCACCTGCGAGAACAGGCAAGAGTCCCCTCCAGTGACAGGAGCCAGAGTAATGCCCCCCTGATCTCATACATGGGGAAGGGCCTGGGGAACATTGTTCATCTCAAATCATTAAAACTCCATATCTCCATTTATTATTGTTAATGTTATAGTTGAAATTTTGAAGATTACATTTTATTAAATTGGTATACACACACACACACACACGTATATACACACAGACACATGCATAAAGGGAAACATGCATTTATTATATGTTTAAATCTATGTTAAGTATGCGTGTATCACACATGAATACATGTATGTAACGAGTAGGATGCATATATGCACTGTCGATTGGTGAAGGACTTCTGTGAATTCGTCAGCACTGGACAGTGTGTGACCTTTGTAGCCAGTCATGTTATGAGTTAGGCAGGCCGGTTTATGAGCAGCGCGTTCTGGTGATCGACTTCCTGGAAAATGCTGACAGACAGCGAAGGTCAGTTGTGCTGGCTGCATTCGGAGGTTTAGAAAGCACACACATTTCAGTCCTCCCCGGGTTTATTCACAACTGGAAATAACGACACACATGTGTACTCACACTCACTCACATAAACATAGACACACACACTCAGACACACTCTCAAATAGACACGCACACAAACATAAACACACAACCGCACATACTCTCACACACATACACACACACACACTCACAAACTTACACACAGACACTCAGACACACAATCACATAGACACACACTAACATAGACACACACACTCACAAACTTACACACACACTCAGACATACACACTCACATAGACACATTCACACACATACACTCACACACACACAGACACACTCTCAAATAGATACACACACAAACATAGACACGCACACAACTCACACATACACACTAACTCAGACACATGCACTCACATAGACACGCACACAAACATAAACACACAATCACACATACTCTCACACACATACACACACACACTCACAAACTTACACACACACTCAGACACACAATCACATAGACACACACACTCACAAACTCAGACACACTCACAAATACACAGGCACACACAGCTCTGTTGTAATTAACACCCCACCATCATGTTGCCCCTAACTTTCTAGGTTTCAGTTGCTTCAGCTTTAAATCAATCTTCTGAGAGACCACCCCCACATTAGTAATTATATATGTTGCTCTTGAACTGAACCTAAGGTATTAAAGGCTGAAAAGAACACAAAAACTAGAAAGAAAACTCTTTTCTTTGACTCCCATAGTAATATAAAAACAGAAAAACAAAAACCCTGAAATAATCCATGTATCTGAATGCAGTGATTGACAGCGACCAGACATGGCTGGTGAAGCTTTAAGTGGCCTAACAATTTGCCTTCATGGAGCCGTTATTGTTATTATTTGAGCTGTTTTCCCGATTATTTTAGCTTGTCTGAGAAAGGCTTAAAATGATATTGTCTTCCTGCTAAATTAACGTACTTTTATTCTAACCTGGTAAGTGCTTGTGTTCCTTTTTCTCTCACTTTGGAGAGCAAAGTGGAGTCAGCATTGGACAGTAACATCCTGGATGTTTTAGGTGACACCCTGCTCCCTGACGGGGCCTTGGCCTCCGGCCCTGTCCTGGGGGCGTCCTCCATGCATGTAATTCTGGTCGCTTTCCCTTCCAGCTCCCTGTGGCGGCCAGTACACGGGGTCCGAAGGCGTGGTGCTGTCCCCCAACTTCCCCCAGAACTACACGGCTGGCCAGACGTGCCTGTACTCCATAACGGTGCCGAAGGAATTCGGTAAGAATGTCTTTGTACTTTTAATTCATTGTCATGCTTTTCATCGGTGTTCATTGTTCTGCCTTTGTCCACCCTGTATGATTGAGTACACACACACACACACAGGCTGTTACAGTGGGGTTGCCTCTGCTACACGCACGTGCACACGCATGCACGCACGAGCTGATACAGGTAGATTTGCCCCGCTTGCTGGCGTCACCTTATTCTTTGATTAGAGCCGTGACGTGTGCGTTTGGCACACGTGCCTCCATTTACTGCTCACCATGCTGTGGAATGGTTTTAGCTTCTCCCTGACACATAAATAAGATTTAGTTGCTCATTGTCGGTTGATGCTAAATCACACGTTTTTGTCAATATCATGAAGGCCCGATATGCTCTTGGTTTGAGTGAAAACCTGACGAGGCGAGAAGTAGATAGTCCGCGGCAGGGACCTCCGTGGAGGAGCTGAGCTCTACAACACTCAGGCCGGGAGCGAGACAGAACGCCCAGCGCAGTGACAGCAGCTGTGTCCGCACTGGGTTGCTGAGTCACGTGTACACGCTGCAAGGAAGTTACAGGAATTAGGCATGAAAATAACCAGCTCTTAAGAGTTTCACATCCCTTCCCGAATGAGCCGGGTTCCCAACCCAGCGGTGTCTTGATCCCTGTACTAGTGCCCAAGCTCTCACCTAAACAGGCCACTTTGCGGTGACCCTGCCAGCACCCTAAGGTGAAATGAAACAAAACCCGCCTCGTTAATGTCAGACATGCAGACAACGACCATCTCACGCCTCCCACTCGGCACCAAACATCAAGGAACCACGCACAGTAGCTTTAGCCACGGAGAAGCTTTAGGGAGCTGAGGACTGAGTTGGAGGGACAGGTCCCTGTGCAGGACAACCAGAGCCCCTTTCCCTGCTAAGCGTGTCGCCCCTTCGTCCACAGTCGTGTTCGGGCAGTTCGCCTACTTCCAGACAGCACTGAGCGACGTGGCCGAGTTGTTCGACGGGACCCACCCGCAGGCCCGGCTCCTCAGCTCGCTCTCCGGGTCCCACTCAGGTAAATGCCAGAGAACCTGTTGGTACTTCTGTTCAGATGGGCGTGTGGCTCGTTCTAAACTCCGTGTGTGTTTGTGTGCTTGTGTGTTCGTGCGTGTGTGTATGTGTATGTATGTGTACGCGTGTGCATGCACACATGTGCGTGCGTGTGTGCACGCACACATGTGCGTGCACGCGTGTGTGTGTGTGTGTGTGTGTGTGGAGAAACTTAGTAATCCTTGAGTGTGTTGTTTGTTTAGTAAAATCTTCGCTAAGAAATGTCCAGTGGACCTTTATCCCATAGACAAAGCCGTCTGCTTTGATTGTCCACTTACTAAGATTACAAAAAGTAGGCTATCCCTCTCAATAAAAGTGGAAAATATCCAAGAGAAAGGATTGACTGGGATGTTTTTAATTTCTATTCTATGTGTTGGGAGCTTCTTCCTGGAGCTAAACAGTATGAACATTTTGGTCTCACTCAGTTGACCCCTGCAAATACATATGTTTAGACCAGGAGGCCTCAAACTTTTTAAACAGGAGGCCAGGTCGCTGTCCCTCAGGCCCTTGCGGGGCCGGACTATAGTTTAAAAAAAACTATGAACAAATTCCTATGCACACTGCACATATCTTATTTTGAAGTAAAAAAACAAAACAGGAACAAATACAAGATTTGTATGTGCATGTGGCCCGTGGGCTGTAGTTTGAGGACCCCCAGTATAGACCCACTACATCCACACGTGTAATAGTACTGTGATTATC